TTCCCATTTATTTTATGTGTGACCAATATTTATATAGGGAGGAAATCCTACATTGATTAAAGCAGTGTGTATTAGGTAATCACATGCAATAATACCGTATTTTTGTACTAAATAAATGTCAAGGATCTGTAATTGTTGTTTTTTATAATCTAAAAATTGTAGCTTATTTGAAAACTGGGTGGAAATTGTAATTTATCAGTTTGAACACGAAGATAAATAAATGACTTACTTCTACCTTTCCACCTCCCAAACCAAGGGTTCTGGGGATCTGCCCGTCTGTCATCATCATTCCCAAGAATGTCTTTAATCAGAGGATTTGAATACACTGTATTTAAAAGAAAAAAATGCTATAATTATTGTAAGCAAATAACACTGAATAAACGGCAAGGTAAATACTACGTCTAATTATAGTAAACACGTACTGCGTGCGTGACTCGAACCGGCGCTCGCGTACGGCACCTAATCGCCTAGCTTCATGCCACTACACGTCTTCCCCTCGGCCACCGGGCATAAAATAATAACAAATAATATTTATTCGGTGTTAGTTGCTTATTTTATTTCCTATGTCGACAGCGACTATGAGTCTATAATTATTGACTGGTTATACCAGAAACAACGTGCAGTATTGCCAGCGATATTATTCCGCACATTATTTCCGCCGTTACCCACGAATAAGCTTGTTATGTGTATAATAGTTTGTTTATGTAATGGCATTCCTTACAAAATGATGACTGATCGAAGAATGCAGGTTTTCTATGTATAGATTAGCTATGAACGAGAATAAATAATGAATAAATGACGGATTTTATGAAATACTCGGTCAAAAAAGAACAAATAATATTTAAACCCAAAAAATAGTTTAATTACAAAGTACCAAACCTAAAAATGTTAACTCACGTGGATTTTCATTACTGTTGAAATCACATTGCACACACTGTATAGCTATGATGGCAGTACACACACAGACCAGTGTAACTTTCATTTTGTCCTGAATATAAACAAATTACATTACGGTGGTTGTCATGCAGCGCGTGTTCGAATGTATTTTACACGCGTATACGTCGCTATGAGTCCCATATCGAACAGGACAAGTGCTCTACTCGCGATAATTCTGTGGGTTTATTACGAGAATAACACAAAATATGCACAAAGACGATGGAAGCATTTCCAAATTGAGTGCATTTTTATATTCTCATGATACCTTAATCTTTGTTCTGCTTGTAGTAATAATTGAATGAGAGACAATAGTCTGAAATTGAAATGAAAACGTCTTGGAAGCGTTGTGCAAAAGTTTGTGTTCAGTCAGACAGAACTCTATTTCCGTCATGCGATAGAGCGTCTCTGTGTCCGATGTAAGCAATTAAGTAATCGAATATGACATAAATGTGTCACAATTTTTTCAAATAGGACTGATATTTGAACACGTCTGTAACAGTTTCGAAGGTTTTTTTTTTT